TAAAAATCAATTTTTAATTTATCAACTATCTAATTAAATTCACTTAATATTAAAATTAATATTAACTTTTACATTTTTTTATATATATTTATAATAAAAAATATATTTAACATATATTTTAAAGACTGAGTAGAAAATCCTAAAAATGAGTGCAAAATATCGCCACAATGCTAGCTTGGGTAAGAAGAGATTCCACGATCGAATTAATTACTTTTTTTCTATCTATAGATTTTGTTTGCTATTCAAAGATTGCTTTATAGAGGATAAAGAACTACACAAGGAATTATTGTCGCTAAAATTTGATTGGGATAAGAACAATACACAAACGAAGCGTACGTGCATTAGTCTGTCATATATATTACTCTCAGATTCGGAATCAATGGAAGGCAAAGGCATGAAGGATTCTTCATCGTTATTTAGTAGGGCCCCAAAACAGCTATATCATGAATGTACATGGGCGTATTTACCTTAAATTGGAGAAGCTTGGTTGTCTTGAAGCGAAGTGCTAATTAATATATATACTAGTACATATATTATGCATATATTTTTTTATTATTGAATGATAAATTATATAATAAAAAATAATTTAAAAAATATATATTTTCACTAATTCAAAATTTAAATTTAAAATCTATAATATAAAGGTTTGAATTCTTAAATTTTAAATACTATGCTGTCCTTTAAAGGACAAGTTTTTGAACATAAAAGCCATGTTAAGTGCCCATTTAAAGAAATTATGAATACGATTTATGAAAAGAGTTTCTTTTGGTCCAGAAGCGAAAATCAAGTTAAGCATAATAACTTCCTCCGAAACACTTAAAACATTTGCAAAAGCCACTACTATTTTTCAGTGAGGGTTTACAAGTTGTGTTTCGTCCAACTTCTACTTTTGTAATAGAAAAGATATTTTAAAAAGTCGTCAAAAACACGGTGAGTCTTCATTCTTTAGAAGAGTCAAAATTTTGTAGACGTTTTAGCGGTGAGTGATTAAAACAGCTTGCATGTGACGTTGAATGGATGGAACAGCAAAAATTCAGACTTTTTCTTAGTAGTGTGCACTCATCAAACACTAACTGCATTGCAAGCATAAAACTTGTGACTGTTTTACAACCATCTTTTTCAAGTTAGTCTCTCCAGGAAGAAAGAAATGTCAACCTGTCATTGTTGTTTGAATTTGAAATTTCCAGCTTAAGATGGACTGATTCATCATTTGCAAACATTCCTATTGAGGATAATTCGGAGACTCCTGTATTCTAACCAGAGTTATGGTATGGGTCATTCAGGGACCCACCAATTAATTCCTTCCTATTTTGTTTGGCCATCTTCATTTAATTCTTTTCAAATCCTAACTTAGTCCCCCTCCTCCAAGGGCTATGATGATATAGTTCGGTATATGTCAGACTATAAACATCATCTCTTTCTTCTTTTTATTGTCTATAAAAGGATTTATTTTGTATTTAATTTACCAAAATTTTAAATTTTTAGAATAAGTTCCAAAGAAACAATATCTGTTAACCTTATTACAAAAGATCAACAAAAAGTTCACTTGACAAGGATTATAATGATAAAGTACCAATTATGTAAGAAATATCTATAATTTTTTATTTTGGTAGAAAATCGAAATTGAAATAAAAGCTTCTTTTCACTAACTATTTTCCTACCTACCAAAATTTAAACCAAACGCAGAAAATTAAATCACCTTCCAAACCAACTTTCCAAACACTTCCTATCTACCAATCACTCTCTGAACTTCCAGGATTTCCAATATGAAGACGTCAGAGCCCGGCCCCTAGTACAAGGGAGATATATTTGATGAAGATGTCCATATCTAAAACAATAAGCATGCAACAACTTAGCAATAGAACATCCATGTTCATTATTTGCCTCACTAATGATTAATTTGTTATGACAAATTCTGTTAACTTAATAGGTACCACTAGATGATATTTGAAAAGCAAAAAGATGAACACTGGCACCGTCAACAAAAGTTAGAAAAAGAAAGAAAAACATAGAATAAATCAAATTTCTATATGTAGTGGTGGTAGACAGAGGTCATGAGATAGCAGAGGTGTGACGACAGAGGTCATGAGATAGCAGAGGTGTGACGACAGAGGTCATGAGATAGCAGAGGTGTGACGACAGAGGTCATGAGATAGCAGAGATGTGACGACAGAGGTCATGAGACAACAGAAGTATGACGACGGAGGTCGTGAGATGAGGCCAGAGGCGCAGTCCAAAGTCACGCACCTCGCAGCCTTCCGTGGTGCGCAACTGCAGTCGGAGCAACCTCTACCTAGCCGCCTCGATCTAGTTGAAGGGCGACGAGCTCGATCGCACTCGAGCTCGTCCCCTCTGCTCTTGCTCCACAGCAATTCCGTACGCACCAGTCTCTCATGGGAAGCACCTGCGACGTTCGACACCTGTCCCCCTGATTTCTTGGAGGATCCAACACGTGGACATCCCCTTGAAGGCCTATAAATACCTCCCGGGGTCCCCCTCACAGAGGTATGGAAAATGAACCTCGAGCTCAGCTTTTACTTACACTCCATAATTGGTAGCTTTGATTATTGCTGACTTAAGCATTGGAGTGTCTACCCCGAGAATCCACCTCGGGTCTTTGCAGGATAGCTGAAGTGAAGACTTAAGATCTGGAGTACCTCAGTTCTCTGCAACTACATTGGCGCCGTTTGTGGGAAACCGAGCTAAAAGCCTTAGCTAGTGGCTGTTACGATGACTAACGTGCGCTCAACGCACCACGAAAGTCCTCAACAAGGGCACGGAGATCAGTCCCTCAGCGGAAACCCCACATCACACCCCATGCCACCCCCTCCAGCCCAGCACCAACACATGGAGGAGACCGGGGAAAATAATCCAAACTCAGTAGGAATCCCGAGCAACCCCATAGCCACCCAACTTAATGCCATGCAACAGCAGTTCGGTGTGTTTCAACTCGTGCTCGCCCAACTATTGGCTAGAGATAACCCAGGTGACCCCCTCATCACATTATTAAATCCCACCAACCAAGCACGAACCCACCAGCCTCAACAAAATGTCGGCTCACCAGCTCGGACTGCTGCCCCACCCCCCAATGAGTCTCAAGCTCATTCCCGTGTGGCACCTCAACCTCGGCAACCATCCCAACCGGTTGTCTCAGATCTTCCTAACCAACCGCACTTAGACCAAATAGTGCCTGACAACCGAAGTCCCCACGTCCCGGTTTAGCAAGGCTCTGCCCTTCTCCATACCCCTCTTAACACCAACATCATTCATGAACCTTACCCACCTGGGTTCAGAATGCCTCAATTCGAGACATACGATGGTACCAAGGACCCTGATGATCACTTGCACGCATTCTACTCCGTAATGCAAGCTCAAAATGCTTCAGATGCCTTGATGTGCAAAATATTCCCTTCTACCCTGCGTGGACATGCACGGACTTCGTACTACAATTTGCTACCGAACTCGATCAGTTCTTCCGCCGAGCTGGCGGCCTCCTTTGCCACGAAGTTTTCCAGCCGCCGGCTGATCAAGAAAACAACATCCGAGCTCATGCGGGTGGCCCAGAGAGAAGGGGAGTCCTTAAAAAACTACATGAACAGATTTAATGATGCAGTGCTGGAAATCGGCTCATTTAGCCAAGCTGTCGGGTTAGCTGCACTAACCCAAGGCCTTAAGCATGACAGGTTTCGGGATAGCCTCATAAAGCATGCCCCTTCCACGTTTGATGAGGCCAATGAAAGATCCTGGAAGTTTATCAAAGCCGAAGAATATGCTTTGTCTGCCAAGCCAGTCCCAAATAAGGAGGTAAGACCTCCGACCTGGAGAGATGAACCACGGAACCAGAAGAGATTTAAGCCTACACAATACCGAGGTCCCTTCCCACCTAAACTAGACAGACCTCCAGTACCTACCCCGCAGCCCATGATGAAGCAAGTTGCCTGGACTCCGTTTAACCTGCCGAGGTCACAGATCTTAATGCAGATCAAAAATAAAATGGAGCTCAGAAGGCCTCTTCCTATGCGAAGCTCACCCGCCTCAAGAGATCAGAGTAGATATTGTGATTTCCACCAGGATCACGGGCACATCACGGAGGAATGCAATAGCTTGAAGTCCGAGCTTGAGGGTTTAGCTCGGAAAGGGTTGCTAAACGAGTACATTTCTAACAGAGACCAACTCAAATTCGTCCGGGAGCAGGGGCGACCCCAATCATCCCGAGATGCAAACAACCGACTTGGAGTCGGATATCAACAAGCACCACCCCCGCTCCCTCCGCCCTCGCGCATCATTCATATGATAACAGGAGGGTTGGAAGCCGGAGGGACGAGAGCTCAAAGCAGCAGAAGCTGTATGTGCGAGAGGTGAAGCATCCCAACCGGGCTCAAAAAAGGAAATTTCACGAGGCAGATTGGAAGAACCAACCCATAACATTCAGCTCCGCTGATTTTGATGGTGTCATCACACCACACAATGACCCGTTGGTCACCTCGGTCATGGTCAATAATTACGAAGTTCAGCGCGTCCTTGTAGACACAGGAAGTGCTCCGGACATCATGTACTACCACTGCTTCGAAAGCCTTGGCCTCGATCCTGCCCTTCTACAGAAGTATGACGGCCCCATCTACGGTTTCAACAATCAGCCAGTGCCTGTGGAAGGAATCCTCAAACTTAATGTAGCATTTGGCTCAGGTCGAGCCTATGTAACCCCCTCAATCCGGTTTTTGGTAGTAAAGATGGCGTCATCCTTTAACATCGTCATCGGAAGGCCAACCTTGACAGAAATTAGGGCAGTTGTTTCACCATCCCACCTCTGCCTTAAGTTTCCTACCCTCACGGGTGTGGCGACGTTGAGGGGAAATCAAGAGATAGCCCGACACTGCTACGTGACTTCGGTCTCCCGACCCCGAAAGGAGAAACAAGTACCAAACCCAGAGCCAACTCAGCCTGAAGTCCCACCCACGCAGCAAGTAATGGGTGTGGAACTGCTGGATAACAGACCTAATGATGAAGCCAGGGCCACTCCGGTAGAAGAGGTGGAAGAGGTGCAGCTTGACAGCAATGAGCCCACTAAAAAGACGAAGATCGGCACCAAGCTGAGCTCCAAAGACCGAGCAGAGCTCATTGACTTCCTCAAATCAAACAGAGACGTGTTTGCCTGGACCTCAGCTGATATGCCTGGCATACCCACCTCGGTTGCGGTCCACAAGTTAAGCACTCACCCCTTGAAGAAGCCCGTAGCCTAGAAAAGACGCCTGTTCGGCGGAGAGCGGTTGGAAACCATCAAGGCAGAGGTACAAAAACTCCTGCAAGCCGAGTTTGTAAGGAGGGTAGACTACTGCGAATGGGTTGCCAATCCCATTCTAGTCAAGAAGTCAAACGGCCAATGGAGAATGTGCGTTGACTACACGAATCTGAATGACGCTTGCCCCAAGGACTGCCATCCCCTGCCGAGTATAGATAGGCTGGTGGAATCCGCGTTCGGAAATGAACGACTTAGCCTTTTGGATGCTTACTCAGGGTATCACCAAGTCCACATGGCCCCCGAGGACGAGGTAAAGACCTCTTTCTACGCAGGCGACGAGATCTATTGCTATGTAATGATGCCGTTCGGGCTCAAGAACGCCGGGGCCACATACTAGAAGATGGTGACGATTGTGTTCCGAGCTCAGATCGGCAGAAATCTCGAAGTCTACGTTGACGACATAGTAGTCAAAAGCCTCAAGGCAGAGGACCACCTAACTGACCTGGCAGAAACATTCAACAACCTCAGAACACACCGCATGAGATTGAACCCAGCCAAGTGCGTCTTTGGTGTCGAATCCGGCAAATTCCTTGGGTTCATGGTCTCCAGGAGAGGGATCGAAGTCAACCCTGAGAAAATCAAGGCGATAGAAGAGATGAAGCCCCCGAAATTGATTAAGGATGTGCAGCGCCTAGCTGGGAGAATTGGAGCTCTGCACAGGTTTGTGTCGAAGTCTGCAGAAAAATGTTTACCCTTCTTCAAAATCCTGAGATTCGTGGCCCATAAAGATGAAACAGGGAAACTTAAGAAGTTCGAATGGACCTCAGAGTGCCAAACCGCCTTCAATGACCTTAAGTCCTACCTTGGTTCACCACCTCTGCTAACCAAGGCCGTGGAAGGCGAAATCCTTTACCTCTATCTCGGAATCTCAGACGCGGCAGTAAGCTCGGTCTTAGTTAGAGAGGCAGACAAACAGCAGAAGCCGGTTTACTATGCCAGTAGGGTTCTACAAGGAGCTGAGCTGTGGTACTCCATTGTAGAAAAAGCAGCTTTAGCAGTGGTCACCACGGCACGAAAATTGAGACCCTATTTTCAGGCTCACCCCATTGTGGTGTTAACCGACCAACCCCTCAGGCAGATCTTGCAGAAGCCGGAATGCTCGGGCAGACTTATCAAATGGGCAGTGGAGTTGGGGGAATTTCAGATAACATTTCAGCAGAGGTCATCAATTCGAGCTCAAGCCTTGGCAGACTTCATCGTCGAATGCACCTCGGCCTCCGAAACCGTCGCTTCTGAAGCCGAGCAATGGACCCTCTATGTGGATGGGTCCTCAAGCAGCAGAGGGTCAGGGGCTGGAGCGGTGTTGATAGGGCCAGGAAGCTTCCGAAGTGAGCATGCCCTGAAATTTAATTTCGAAGCAACAAATAATATGGCCGAATATGAGGCACTCCTTCTCGGACTTCGCTTAGCAGCTGAGTTGAAGGTCAGATCTCTACAAGTTTACAGTGACTCACAACTCATCGTCAACCAAGTCAACTCTACATGCGAGGTCACAGACCCCACCCTAGCAAAATACTTAGCTGTGGTTCTGAAGCTCCAAAGCCAATTTGAAAGGTTTCGACTCACCAAAATCTCAAGGTCCGAAAATGGCCATGCTGATTCGCTATCAAAGTTAGCTTCCGACTGCTCAAGTGGACTGAGGTCAGTTTTTGTCGAGGTCCTAGACGAACCAAGCTTCCAGAGGTCACAAGTGATGGACATCAGCACCGATCCCGAAGCCCCCAGTTGGACCGATCCCATTAAAGCCTATCTCCAGGATGGGACTGTCCCAACTGACAAGCAAGAGGAGATGAAGTTGCGAAAGAAGGCATCTCGGTACATGTTGATGGATGGTACCCTGTATAAGAGGTCATACTCGCTTCCCCTTCTTCGATGTTTAACTCCTTATGAGGCCGAGTA